GACTTAATTTCGACGAGTCGGTTCCCCTCCCAGGAGCCAACTCGTGGACGTTCTCTCTGGCGCCGCATGCCCCCTCCCACGGTTCCACGACAGGGCTACACGAAAGTTTAACAATTGCCTTTCGGAGCTGTAAAGAAGAGATGACGGACTACGTGAAAACGTCCACTGAAGAAACCACCTCGAAAATGATGTTGACGAACTAAAATTTATTACATCTATTCAACAGATGCCACAGAAATATAAGAAACTGACAGATAGGAATTGCAGAGACAAAAACTAGTATACTGTTGTGGTCAGAAACAAGCACAAAAAGGGAAGCTGGAGGACTAAAAAACAGAATATGCAGATTTTCGGTAAACTTGGTACAATGGACGACGAGAGGAATTTGCACAAGAGAGAATCAAATAGGAGAGAGGGAGGGTGGTCAGAGAAAAGAAAAGGATGAGCGAGTCGACAAATCGGGAGGTGCAGCAGACACGGTAGCAGAAAGCGACTGGCGACGCGCACCTGCCACCATTCAATAATTTTTCCGCACAATGAGTGGCGCACAATGAGCCTGCGTGCGACAAACGATTTCTGTGAGACAGACGGATCCACCAAAGTATTTCTCTCACACGCGTTGGTTATTCCGGGAAGAAAGGAACACCAGTGTATGTTTCAAAATGTGATAGGCAAATATATTTTACATCATTTTGCGTCAAAAAGGCTTCATTACTGCAAACCATATCGATAATGTATTTCTTCTATTCCTTAACATGTGGAATATTGTTCTTGTGATGAGTCGTTTTAGAATATGTCCTGGTAACCTTCAGCAGAAAAACGCTACTTTGGAGAAAGTAATATGGAAATTTGTGTTTGATTAAATTAGTTTGTAAATATTGGTATTTCTATGTCGAATAGGTAGTTTTCTCCATGTATCACGAGATCTAAATGTAAAACTTCTTTTCGGATTTACAAATGAGATTCCGTGTCCATCAGCGTTTGTGGAATTGAGAACAAAACGGTAAAGAACTTAATCATTAGTACTATTTTTTGTTACGACAAAAGATTGAAAGGATTTTGCGTCTTATTTTCTGTTACTTTGCGAGCGGTTTTAATTAAACATCCAGGGCATGGTATCTCTTTGGTAGATTAAATGGTTATAAAAGAAAAACGAAACAAATTTACCTGAAATAGAATCATCGGTATAGCATATACAATTCTAAGATGTAAGGTCTCTTTAGCTGCTCAACGGAGACGCTTAACTATGCCCATCGTTGTGTTAAGGGTATTATTTAAGGGAGCTTGGAAGGTGATACAGATTTTACTTTTCTCGCAGATGGAGATAAGTCTTGATTCAAGATGTAAAGTAGGTATTGTTCGACAATTACCACATCCCGTTGGCTACTACGCAGAAGCACATTTATTCAAAAGAGGGACAAAATATTGATTTGTTATGCGTGAAAAGCCTCGTCTGCACTTGTTCTAAATTTACATCGCGGTCCCATCGCTAAACCTATTCCACGACGAGTCTTCGTCAAGTCCCACTCAGTCTTTCATTAACGTGAAAGCGCGGCGGGCAGGCAGGACGTGGAAGGACGAAAGCCGTTCCTCGGAAGCGCCGCGCGACTCCGTACCTGGATTACCGAATCCGTCGCTCAGGTTGATGTATAGATTCCGTGGCCGACAGCGTGGCCGGCCAGGACGCGCCACTCGTCGGGAGACAAACTGCCCCTCCCCTTTCCACCTCACTCTCCCCACCCACCAGGCGGCGCGGCGCGGCGGCGGCGGCGGCGGCGGCGGCGACCGGGCCAACTACAAATTTCCGCGCTGTCCACTCTTGCAATTAGTCGGCGGAAGGCAATTCCCAGGTTTCGTTACACGCGCGAGACAGCGGATCCGCCTGGATTGGGGATGCTCTCCGACAGCACGGTCGCCCTCGCCTGTCTGCCTGCAATTCACTCTCGGGAAGTGCATGCTGCTTAGCGAGGCAACAACTGGAACATCCCATTTAAGTAATAGTACTTAATTTGTGGCTTCTAACATTGGAAACAAATAGGTTAATAAAATTACATTTTAAGGTGAAAGACTATTATGTTAACTGTCATATTAAAGAGACCGTACCTCATTCTTTTTATAATTCTCTACGCGCGATATATTTCTGAAAAACCTGTGGAAAAGTAATAATGGACCTTCATTTGTCACAACTTATACTAAGTTGTGTGTGTATTTTGTGTGATTCGACAATATCTTCTACAAAAATAATTCAATTTAAAAACTCTTCCGCTTCCACGACTAGCATATCTTATGGTCAATTCCATAATTCATATTCTTTAATCATTTTATTGTGTTTTGTGACACACACACATCCATAACAAGTATGATGTGTAATTTGAAAAGAGAAATATAAAATTCAGAGGAAAGATACGCAATCGTAGTTTATAATTACTCATGACAGGAAAAGATAATTTAAGTAGATATATCTTGAACATTACATCGTATTTCAATTCATAATGAAAAAATATCTGTATTCTACATGGCAACGATGCTTGCTAATTTATATAATCACGAAATTTACATCTAATTCCAATACAAAAACCAAGAACATGTTTCTCAATAGCTACCGGAAACCATTTCCCTTCGTCTTTTAACCAGCAGCTGTTAAATACTGGAATAAACAGTTTTCGTCACTATTTAAACTCGAAGTAGTCAAGAATTACAATAATCAACTTTTGAGACTAAAATACAAATATTCAATACAATTTTCGTTTCTTTTACTGCTCAATGGGCCTAGAGCCCGTTGGAATCCAGGGATTCAGAAACTATCTTTTCATCTTCACCTCGGACTTATTCTTATACGTCTCTCAACATTCTGCCTACTGTGTCTTCTTGCATTCTCTCAAAGCAACGAAACCAGCAAGAAAACGACGTTCTAGATTCTTGACTGACCGAGACAACTCCGGTCCTAGAAGAAATACCAAAGCTTCGGGCGTCTTTAGGCGAATACCACCATCTTCAGAGTGAATACAGAGTGACTTCTAAGGAAGGTGACAGTCTAACAGTCAAAACACTTCCTAGAATATATCTGTTCCGTTGCAAGAATTGGGGCCAGACTGCTCACGGCGACATGCCGCAGTTGCCCACGTGCCACTCGCCTTTCCAGGAACTAGAGCCAATAGCGCCCGAGCGCCTCCTCTCCCATCTAGCAGTCTGAACAAGCAGCAGGCCATCCTTCTGGCACCCAGATAAACGCCGAGGCAGCGCACGTCATGTGGGCCAGCCACTCGAGTAGCCCTGTCTTCGGCCGTGGCACATTCCGGCAGCAAGGTCACCGATTCCGTCCACGGAAGCCTACGTGTACAAACGACGTCCTGCCGTCCCCCTTCCCTGAGTGGTAAATGGCTTGATAGGGCGTGGCGAGCGGTGGCGGGGAGCGGGCGCGGCGGCAC